TTTCTAGGAAATCCCCCATGGGTCTCATTCACTTCTGCTCAATCTCATTCACTTTTTCTTTAAATCCTCCAATCCCTTCCCATCCATTATCTCTTCCATAATTTAACCTCAACATATCTTTTCAACCATTTCTTTCACGATCTGTCCTAAAGGAATCCCTATTCCAAACCGGACTCTCACTTTCTCAAATATGCAGCGCTCTTCCCAGCACCTACAGCTCGGCACTCACCCTCTTCTCCTTCTACAATGCTTTTCTGTCCCTTTTCAGGAGACCTAACCCATGAACATCCTTTGAAAGTTTTTGGGCAGAGCTATGGATATTCCACTCTCATTCTTCAGCTTCCTCCAACCCCCATCTTTCCTGTTTTCCTATCATTCTCCTCCATGTACTCCAAAGATTTCCTTTTGTTCCAAACCATGGACAACCCTCTTCCTCCTCCTCCTTGATGGCTTGTGCACTGCTTTAATTGCAAACTTTCCATTATTCTGTCTTTATCCTGGACTTTATTTTGGTTTGGTTCATGCTGCCTTTGAGAAGGAATTATTCTTTGATTATTTCTTTTGCCCTGTTTCTCCATGAGCATCCTTCAGGCCTCTAAGTGGACACATCTTTCGCATGAAATATCTGGGCTACATTTTTAATTCTCTACCCTGATTTCCTGGGCCAATAATAGAATGGATCTCCGGAAAGGACATTCAGTTGCTAAATGGAAGAAATGCTTCCTTCTCTATTCAAAAGCAGCCCTTCTGACTAATTAAAGAAATACGTCAAAACAGTTCTTAAGAAGAACCCATACGTCACCCAAAGAATTAAATATTTTGAAAATGAGAAGAACCACTTGGTCCATTTTTCAACAGAGAACAAAGGAAAAGAGACAGGAAAGAAATAAATCAGAACTCAAGCTGAAATAAAATAGAAATCTCTAGTTATAATGTAAGGGGAAATATTTAAGCCTAGAACTCTGGTGAAGCCAAAAGCCATTATGTGTATACCTAAGGTTTTTATCATGTTTCTATCATTTGCCACCAGCTTTTCATCAAAGCCAAGCCCCCCAAAGGGAAAATGGGACATAAAAGGGTGATAGAATAAGAATGACAGAGAATAGATAGGAGGCTTTGGTATGATACAAATAATTTTTTAATATGGTGTGCTTCAAAAGCAGTAGGCAAAAAAACAGAAACAAAGAAGCAGCATGCCCTTGAAGATGTCAATGCTTTGTGGGAATGGATTTCCTAAAGTACAAAGCACTATTCTAATGTTAGCCTATTTATTATTACCCAGCAGAAGTGTAATTACCTCTCACCCACTGCTGAGTGGCAAATTATATTAACCCTGACCCACCACCTCTCCCAAACCTACATGACAAAAGTAGTTAAGGAAAAACAGAATACTGGGAAGGGAGGACACGTTGGGAAGGAAGGACTTATTTCTTTTTTCCTTTTCCTTTTTTTTTTTTTCATTTTTATTTTGAGGCAGAGTCTCACTCTATTGCCCTGGCTAGTGGGCAGTGGCATCATCATAGCTCACTGCAACCTCAGACTCCTGGGCTCAAGCGATGCTCCTACCTCAGCCTCCCGAGTAGCTGAGACTATAGGTGAGTGCCACCACGCCCAGCTAATTTTTCTAATTTTAATAGAGACGCTCTTGCTCAGGCTGGTCTCCAACTCCTGAGCTCAAGCTATCCTCCCACCTCGGCCTCCCAGAGTGCTAGGATTAAGGGGTGAGCCACCACACCTACTTTATTTCTTCTCTTAAATCCATGTTATCCCCTTGGAAACTGAGCTCCTGTAAGTCCAAGGAGTAGGAATGAGAGGCATCCAGAAACGGAATGCTTTCTCAGCCTGGCTGTCTGCCTTCAAGGATCAAATAAAGATATGTGTTTATAGGAGTGGAGCAGCTGCTCAGCTAGTTTGGATGCCCACTTCTGAGTCCTCAGGACATTCTATTTTTTTTAGTCCACTGACCCTATAGTCTCTGGAAAGTGTCAGACTAAAGAGTGAAGATATATAGATGGTTTGGGTCCTAGATGTCCTGGAGACAATAGCATTACTTCCTCCTTAGAATCCATCAGAGGAGTTGGAAAAGGCACCATCACAGTGTTTCAGTCTTTAGGTTATATTCACAAATGGTCAGAAGTTCATCATTAGTGGTTCACTGTTGATGCTGTGCCACACCTGAATGCACAGTATATGGCTCTCACACACATAGAGCCATAAATAAAGCTTCTCACTTTGTAGGTACTCAATATTAATTTCCTTCGCTCCTCTTTTTACCTTAAAGCCCTACCTTGTAGCTTGCCATCTTATAGAAGACAATAATTCTGCTAGAATGAAACTTGTGCTATTATAGACTATATGTTAGCATACGATATGACATAGTAGTGACAAGAGTAGGTGGCATGTTAGCTAAGTTGGGCAGTAGTTGGCCTGGTGGACACTGGACCATATAGAGGAGTAAGAGGAATTCATAGCCCAATGGAATTGCATTTCAAGAAATGAAATCAAGATTTCTCAGGAAATCGAATCCAGCTGATAGAAGAAAGGGTAATGTCAATTTAAACAGGAACTACTTATTACTTGCTTTGCTTATGCTTAAAAAAAAAGGTACAAGAAGAAAATTCAGAACAAAGCAGAGAAATTAATTTTTACTAATAATCAAATGCAAAAGAAATTCTAAATATCTGTCAAAAACAAGGCTAAGTGAACTATTTTTGAAGCAACACACACAAAAAAAGACCCCTGGGCAAGAAATTTTACAGTCATCCTCTTTCTAGGTCGGAACTCTCTTAGAATGAGACAAAGAAAAATCCAGACCTGGAATAAGAGGAAGACATTAGGAATCCAGTCACCATACTGACAAGAGATTTGTTTAACAAACAGATGAAAGGCCAGAGTAATCAGATACCACAGGAAAAGGTAATGGACTAAGGGGAATAAAAGAAAAATTATGGCCCCACAGTAAATGGACATATATTTTTAGAATATCTATGAGGTTAATTTAGGCTGGGAAAAAAAAGAAATTATTAGAATATGATAAAGAAGAGAAACATTTTTCATGTTTTGCCACCAGAAAACATTTAATATGCTTTGCAAAAATTAAATTTGATATTTTAATGTACCTAGACAAGCACTAAATGAATTCTGGACTCAGATGAATTAAAAAATTCCTGATACCCATTCTATACAACACAGAATGGGAGTGGGGGATGAAGAATGCTTCTACATAAAATAAATTTGGCTTTCCTTTATTAGGCGTAAATGAAGAGCATCTTAAAAGTATATAAATAGAATCCAAGAATGCTAGTTGTGTGTTTTTTTCTTTTAAGGAATAGAAAACCATAAAGAAAGGATCATAGGAAGTATACCAATGTCATTAAAATATAATTGGACTTGCAGGAACAATTACTGTGCTGTACTGTAAGGGGAGCTGTTGGCACATAAGAGCAAAGCACACGTATGAGCTCATCCCCGGCCTTGGCAAGACCCACTTCCAGCTAGAAGCAGTCATGTTTCAACACCTCTGATTCCCTAATGCTGACAAGCTAAACAACTTGTTTTGTCTCTGGGAGCTCTTCTCTAGTGATTAACTGCTTATGGTGAATACTAATTATATGAAAGTACAGTATTGAAGAAGAAATGTCCTATTTCCTCTACCTGCAGCCACGACTTGTTTTTGAATCTAGAAGCTACTAGGTAGAGCCATAGCAAACCAGAACCAAGAAAAACATCTTCCTCCCCCTGGGTAATAAATATATCTCCTACTTTTTAGTATAGTACAGTTCACTGACAAGAAACCTCCTTTAACCTCTGGGCTCCAAACCAAACATAATTACAATACAATGAGTGTTTTAAAGGCTTGTAATAATTATATGGATAAATCTGCAGCACGAGTTTGTGCATTAGTGAACTACCAGTGTCCTCAATTCCCCATGTCCCATGTTGAAAATTTACCCCAAATTGTCACTTCTTAGGAACTGCACCTCAGATTAAAATCTTCTCACCAGGGAGTCTATGAGAATTTGTTCTTGTGTTTTAAATCCTAAGTGCTTGTTAAACCGCCAACACTGCAAAATTAGAGACCATTAAACAATATAAGGCAGCAAGTGATTAAATCTACCAAATACACATTCAAAGCAGCTTAAGCTACTTTTTAATTAAAAATAAAATATCATTGGCTAAATTCAGAAGTCTTAGCTATCCAGAAAAAAGTTACAGGACTGTTCAAAATGCAAAATACTGCTGATAAGGCCAGATAGAAAAGGAGAAATAGGGTGGGGGGTGAGCTGGACAGGGGGCTCGTCTTGGTGCCAAGCCAGGGTGGCAGGGCGCCCCAGTGCTCACCGGGCTTAGGCAGTGGACATTAGCGGGGAGTCTCGGCTGCACTGCAGGGGAGGATGCCATGTGGCTGCTGATTAAATAAGCTTTATTAGCAAAGGCCTCCGAGGAGACAGGGTGTTCCACCCTCTTGGCAGGAGAATGAGTTGAGTAACAGCATCTCAGGAAGTGAAGGCATTGGGAATGTATAGATGGCTGAAGGAAATGTTAGTGCTATTTTTAAACACGGCTTAACCTAATTGATCAACATTTCTTGAAGTAATCATTAGCTTTTGGGGAAGAAGGCACAGGGGCTTTTGAGCTAATGGGATCACTTGAAATTCAAAGAAATTTTTACTGTATAGTTAGAAGTAAATAAACATTGTAGCTTTAAGTCGTTCTTACTTGTTTAAAGAAAAGAGAAAGGGCCAGGGGGCTTAGTCAACTTCAGGCAGAAGGCCAAGAATCTGAAGATCAGACTTAAGGCTGGGATGATATCATTCACTCTGAAGTCTTGATACTCTTTCTGAAGCATGAGAAAATTTACTGGTAAAACCTTACCTCACCCACACTTTTCTTATTTTTAACTCTTTTTTTTTTTCTACTCGAGAATAATTTTCCAAATATGCTTTCTGCCTTATATGTAAATGTTATAACTTTACTTTTAGCTTCAGACACGGTCTTACCTAAAAAGCTTGCCCTAAAGTAAAGTACAGGCACTTGGTAGCTGCAGGAATATAAGACATGATACTCATATTTAATCACTTCGGACGCCGCTGCCGTCTCAGTCACTTCAAAATCATCCGAGGGTAGCTCTAAAGCCTCCTGAAATAAAGCAAAAACAAAATCCAAAATGTGTTTGTCAATAAGAGAAGTACTAAATAACATGAAGAGGAAAAGAGGAGATTTTTCTTCTTACAAAATAACAGTTAAATAAACATAGGGCTATGAGGTAAGGATAAGGGAGTTGCCCATATTAATGTTTAACATTTGAGTCCTGGGTAAATAGTAAAACCAGAAAACATTAGCATTAAGTAATTCCAGATTGTTTTTGAGAGACAAAGCAGCTCTGAGTAAAGAAACAGGAAAAAGAAGAAAAAAAAGCAAAAACATCTATTGCAACAGCAACTCTGAAAAATCTTTACTGTACAATTTTAGCAACAAGATGATAGCTATACGAGCTACTTTCTTCCCTACCTGTGAAAGCTAAAAACATCCTAACAATTGAACAAGAGGCTGTGAAATGTCCCTAAAGATTCTATTGTACTTGCCAAAAGATGATTCATTGTGTGCTGAACAATTCCCAGTTCCACTTTGAATAAGAAAGTTATTTTGCAAGAGGTTGAGTTTGTTAGGTGTATTTCAAAACCTGAGATGATTCTGTTTTCTTCATTATTGTGCTATCTTTGGTATATTTCTATAATAAATCTTGATTTATAATAGATTAGATGGCGAATATTAAATGTCAACTTAAACGGGGTTTGTAAATAGAGATGATAGTCATCTCTCTTCTCACCTAATCGTTCTTTACTGGTTGATTATTTTTTTTATCATGTGTGGGGTTTTTTAAAGAATGTATCTTAATGTTTAGGAGAAACCAATTGAACATGTTGAGTCCGAGTCTGGATCCATCCACATTCCCTTATTTATTTGGTACCTTTGAAATGAAATTAGTACTAGCAGGAAAGAAGCAGGTTGGTTTGGTTCATTCTAATTCTCATTAAAACAGTAACAACAACAATGAACAATCAGAAAGAACTACAGGAAAGACTTCAAACTTTATCAATATGAAATAAGGTTTCCTGTGGAGATAAGCCAAGCCACAGACTACTTTCCAGATCTGTATCTCCTTTCCAGATAATTTCTGTAATTCCCCACTCTCAGTCAGTTCACTGGGGAGATACCACAATGGATAAGTCACAACTAGAGATATTTATGAAGTACTTTTCGCTAAACTCCAGTAAACACTATCAATTAAACACAATAAAGTAACCAGGGAGAAATCACTGAAATAAATATCCCAAATAGAGAAAATTAATAACAGTAGCAAGAAAGAGTTTTTTCTTTTTTCAATTTTTCATTAGGCATAGGTAGCTATGCCTTCTTTTCTACCAATTCTTTTAACCAAATTCTTTTTTTTTTTGTCAACAACTAGGTTGTTTAGTATTTATAACCTCTTTGCTTTCTTAGCATTATAAAGGAATTATATCTTGATAAAACAGAATTACAAACACTACACAAGTACATAAAAGAAAAAGTGAGATTCCCCTCGTCCCAGCACTCCTATACCTCAGATTTGTAACCATTTTTAGCAGGCCAGTGTGTATTTTTCCAGACTTTTCAATTTTTTTGGCACATAGTCACATATGCACATACACACCTCCTCCCCACCCCACCGTCTCTGATTAAATCCTGCTATCTATACATATGCTCTGAGAGTGGGTATTTTCACTCATGGGCATCCTGCCACATGCTGCCATGTCACTGCTGTAGATTTAGCATCTTTTAATGCCTTCACTATATCCCATTGTATGACTACATCATAGTTGCTTTTTGTTTCTTTTAACACTTCCATATTGCCAGATATTTTAGGTTGATTATAAGTTTCTGCTACTACATATAATACTGCAATGAATATCCTAGCACATATATCCTTGTACACCTCTATTTTTCTATGGTGCAGATTTCTAAAGGTAGAATCACTGTACCAAAGGTATGTGCATTTCGAATTTCAAGAGACACTGCCAATCTGTCCTCAGAAAAAGGCTGTGTCGATTTATATTCCTGGAAAAAAATGTCTGACAATGTCCTTTTCCAATATCCAATATATACTGAATATCATTTCTTTTCAACTTTTGCCTATTTGATTATTATTAAATGCCAGTTTTTTGTTGTTTTAATTTATAGTTTCTTGATTGCTAGTAAAGGTGAGCAGCTATTCATAAATTCATTGATAATTTGTGTTTTCCCATGATTTGCTTGTTCTTATTCTTTATTTTCTGATATTTAGGTTGTTTGTACTTTAATTAATGAATTATATAAACTCTTTGTATATAAGCAATAATAAAATACTATTGGAGTTAAGTATACATGCACCATAGAAAAACAGACGTGTACAAGGATATGTGTGATATATATACATATAGACAGAAAACTATTTTTTCTTTAAGAAACACAGTCTTGGTCTGTTACCCAGGCTAGAGTGTAGAGGCCTGATCATAGCTCACTGTAACCTTGAATTCCAGGGCTGAAACAATCCTCCTGCCTCAGCCCTCCAAGTAGCTGGGACTACAGGTGTGTGCTACCACATCCGGCTAATATTTTTATTTTTTGCAGAAATGAGGTCTTGCTATGTTGCCCAGGCTGGTCTCAAACTCCTGGCTTCAAGAAATCCTCCTGCCTGGGCCTTTCAAAGTGCTGGGATTACAGGCGTGAGCCACCGCAACTGGCTAAAAAACTTTTTCACTCAGTTTTCTTTCAACTCTATTGATTGTACTTTTTATCATAATTTTTTGTTTTATTTTTATGCAGTCAAATCTGTACATTTCTGTTTACAGCTTCTGAGTTACATGTTTTCATTAGAAGGCCTTCTGCTATGCCCCACCTCATTTTTAAAAATTATAAAAATGTTAAATTCCTTAATTATATACACATATATGTTTTAAAATTAACATTTAGATCATTAATCCACCTGAATTTTGTTTTTGTATATAGTGTGTGGTAGGACTTTCTCCCAGATAATTGCAATAGTCCATCTTTTTCCCATTGATTTAAAATGTCACCATTACTAGAAATTAAGGGTGTGTGTGTGTGTGTGTGTGTGTGTGTGTGTGTGTGTGTGTTTATTCTCTATTCTTCTCTATTGGGCTATTTCTTCTCTTAGACCATCACTGTGCAATTCTTTAGTGTATACTGAATCTAAGAAATTGGGTCATTAATTTCTGCAGAAAACTGCAGAAATAGACTGCCTGAGACTCAGTGCTGCTAGGGAGGATAAAATTTTTGGAAAGAATGTTCTTCGCCCAAATTTAAATTAAGCACTCAGGAATGTACTGGGGTTGACATTAGGTACTTGCCACTGGTGATCAATTAGGCATAGATACACATTCTCTGGAACAGGTAGGAGGCTCAAGAAATAAGGGGGAGAAGAAAGAACAAGCTTCTTGAAGAGCCTGTTAGAAGTCTCCTCCCAGTCACTATTCTCAGTAGCAGCTGAGTGCATTTGTGGCATTTGAAGGCCAGGGGTGCTTGTCCTCTAATTAGGACTGCTACTATGCTCTGGGCAGCCATCTATGTGCAAGCACATTTTTGCATCCATTACTCATATTAGATAAACCTGAATCCTTGATTTGTGTCTGCTAGAATCTTTCCATCATTCATGGTCACCTTTGTAAAACTCATGCAAATATCATCCCTTGAAGTCATGCAATTTGGAAATCTCAGACTTCTATATATTTTCTGCTTCCCTTTACAGTTAAAAGTGCCAGATGGTTTTAGAACTTCAAGACTAAGGTTCTTTTCTTACTCATTTTTGTATTCCCAGAAACTCTAGTACAGAGCTGAGAACCCTAGTAAGCAACATGTTCTATTTCGGTCTTCTGTTTCTTTTCAACTAGGTATATTATTAAATATAACAAACTTCATAGGTAATTCATCAGCAACCCCATTCCTACCCCAAAGTTTGAAAAAAGTAAATGAAGAAGTAAAAGTGCAAAATATCACCAAAAAGGATACACAAATGGCAAATAAGCACACAAAGAAGACATTCAACATCATTAAGCATCAAGGAAATAAAAATTACGTGAATGTTCATAGCAGTTTTATTTAGAATAGCTAAAAACTTGAAGCATTTCTGGTGTCCTTCAACAGGTCAATGGTTAACCAAACTGTAGTGCATGTATACCATACGATTTAGCAATTAAAAGGAGAAAACTACTGATACATACAATAATCTCCAGGGAATTATGCTAAGTGATAAAAGTCAATCCCAAAAGGTAATATATTGTATGATTCCACTTATATAACATTTTTGAAATGGCAAAGTTTTTGAAATGAAGAAAAAAGAGCAGGTTGGTGTTGGATGGTGTGAGGAGGGCCGAGGGGTCTGGTTATAAAAGGACAACATAAGAAATCCTTGTGGTGATGGAACTATTCTGTATCTCGAATACAGTGGTGGATACGAGGATCTACACATGTTATAAAATTGTACAGAAACAAGCTCACACACACACACACACACACACAAATACAAGTAAAGCTGGAGAAATATGCATATTAGTGGATCATATCAATGTCAATATCCTGGTTGTGATATTATACTGGAGTTTTACAAAAACAATGGAAGAAACTGGGTAAAAGGTATATGGGATCTTTCTAACCATTTTTTATTATTTCATATGAATCTATAGTTACCTCAAAAATTTCAAATTAAAAATGAAAAGCAAAGAAACAGTGAGGCAATTTGAGACTTGTTAAAAACTAAATAAAATGTCTAAGACCTTAAGGTGCTATCAGTACAGATGGCAGGGGGATCACGCTAATAAAGAGAATCTAATATCTGGGATTTGTTTTAAAATAATACAGGAGAAAGGAGAGTGGACAAAAGTACAGAAGAGGCATGATTGGTCATGGAGTGATGACTGCTGGGGGTGGGGGGGGCTTGATGGGTCCCTGGACATTAATTATAGTATTCTGTCTACTTTGAGGAATGTTTTAAATTTTCCAAAATAAAAAAATTAAGGTGAAAAAAGTTTCTGATACCATATTACAGAACACAGAATCAGAACTCTAATAGTGAAAGAAACTTGAATCATTCCATCTAGCCC